AGACTTTGCCTTAAATCGAAGTCAATATGATGGTACTTCAGTATATGAATGGAATATAGATGGATATTCAGAACATCAATTATTAAATTTCATCAATGAATTAAATATGGCAGCCAACGCCAGACAACTCTTTATATAGGCGTCTTCCAAGTATATAAACCGATAAGTTTCCTTTGATAACAACAATTATTGATTCTTCTTTTACTGCGGATTTGAAAATTTGCATTTGAGATCCGTTGAATGGCAAACAGGGATTGTAGACATCTTGACAATCTTGGCTTGTAGGAATCTTTTTTCTGACAAACTCATGTCCTTTGAAAATGGGCATTTCTTTTTTGAATAGTATCAACTATTTTTAATCATGCATCGATCAACTAGTTGTCATGCATCAAATTTCCTCTAGAAAGCATTTGGCTTTTGATAATCGTGCATCTTTGAAAATCTGAACATCAATTTGAACAACATGTAATTTTACCAATACACAAAGAATTTGTATTGATAATATTTTGACCATCAACCCATTTGACCATCTTTTATGAACAAACCTGCCAACAATGGCAAGGCACCAAAACACACGCTTTACATAATTTTAGTCGAGATGACTAAATTCATCATAAGGGTTTTGAGCATCTTGAAACAAACTTTGATCATCTTCAGAACTAGATGAACCCTGTGCGGATTTCTTAATCTCTTGAAATAGTCTTCGCATCTCTTCTAGAGATGGAGCATTCAAAAGACTTTGAAGCTCGTCATTTTCTTCTTTAGTTAGACTAGTTTGAACATGATGAACATTCTCTAAAACACTTGGAACACCGAAGCCTCTGGATTGAGTAAAATAATTAWCAACTCCTTGGATTGTCATTTTTGTTGTTTGATCAGCAGGTAACTTATCCCACCACTTAACATTCGATACACGGTATAGAAATGTTGAGGAAGTGGTTTCTTCTTCTTTTACTATGAATTTCCATGTTAAGATCCATGGAATTTTGAACAAAATGGTGAATTGAAGGAGATATTCACCTTTGGAGATCTTCTGAGGAAATAATTCTTGAAACTTTGAGAATCCATCTTGAACAGGCTTAGGAAATTTTCAATTATATTTCCTAAATACTGAAACCATTTGATCATCCACTCAGGATATCCATGGTTAAAATTGAAGTTTTTGTCGAAAAAGATGAACCATGAATGTGAGAAACATCTTAAGTAAAAAACGTTGAACCATGCATCTTGATAATCATAGTAATTATAGCTAGGAATCTGAGGGTAATTTGACAAGGTTTTATTTGCGAAAGGTTTAAGTCCCCAATCGACTTGAGTAAGGACTCTAAAGATTTGAGCTTTTGAATAGTCTATGGTGTATGAAGAATTTTGTTGAGGATTTTTGATATGCGTAATATTAACAGAACCAGTATATGCTAATATGGCTTCATAATAATCTTTGGGTTTACATCCTATATAGAGAGAGTCTTTTGGAAAATCAATTTCTAAGAGTCTTGAAAAACTGGCTTTATGAGCAAGAACTTCATTAGGTTCAAGAATTTTGACCAATTGTTCATTTGGGTTTGAAATATAACTACTAGACTTGGTTTGGGG